ATGTACAATTGCATGTACTTATTTGAGGAAAAGAAGAATCAATTAAATGCCTAGACTGATTCATCTTGAAAAATCAATTTTTAAAACTCAAAATGGCAGTAAATTTAGAATAAACAATTATTTTTACTTAGAATTGCATGAAACGCACTTGAAACGCATTACAGCATCATTTGTGAATCATAACAAAAACCTTTAATAGTTAGTTATAATGGGAAAGTCGTTTGATCATTAAAAAACAATTCTATATAGCAGGGATGCACAACCTGTGGCCCAGAGCTCTTTCAATGTTTATTCGGTTTGTGGAAGGTACAGGCCAAATCCCTTCTTTCAAGTGTATCTATGGATTACTTGCTCTGTTGTGATGTGGGTCCTGTTACTTTAATGCAGTGAAACAAACCCTTCCTATATTAAGTCTATAGAGAATCTTTTCCACTTAATTAGATGATAAAATTATTACTTACATTCCTTTTAAGCTCAGATTTGTGCTTTCTGGCTTGAAAGACTTGGCTTTATCCAATAAAAGTAACCAAGAATCTGACGCCTGGAAAAATTGCCGCCAAAACCATGCCCCCTTTGACTATACCAATCAGAATCTAGAATGTAAACGAATGCTAAATAATTGTTATTTTTATTGTTTTTCAGTGCTATTTTCACTTATTTTTATGTTATTTGATGCTATTTAGACAAATAAGCAAGTTTTCCGAAGCATAAAATTGAAAATTTCCTGCCAAAATAGAAACTTCCTGATAACATCAGAAATGACATTCTAACATCACTTATTCTATTTGATTCTTCTAAAAATCATTATAATACTATGTAGACTTAAAATATTCTATATCTAAATCAGAAAGTGTGTTAGCTAGAAATAATATAATAGAAGAACTTCAACCACTCTCACTTCTCACTCCAGGGAAAGTCATAAAACAGTTGGATGCTAATGACTTTGTGAAAGGAAAAAGTTCTATACTTAGAAACTTGGAACTTGTTTGGGAAAAGAAAAACTTACCTAGCTAACAGATTAAAAAAAATCAGTTCAATTTGATACAAATTTTTTTTGCCTAGTATGTAGCAAAGTGAGTTTTGCGGGAAAAATTTTACAGCTAAATGAAGATAAAACATTAATGGTTTATTAAATAGTCAATCAACATAAAAATTAGAAAAATTAGAGCTAAAAAACAGAAAATATAGCTACTTTAGTTCATTTGTTTACAAGCATATTTGGATGAAATAGCTTGAATGAGTAAACAAACAATTTTTTACAACAAAGTCTCTCCATTGACTAACAATAGAAAACATTTTTTAAATTTATTATATTTAATTATTACATTGGACCAAGAAAATTAATAATTGGACAACTAAAAAGAAGCTGATTGCACTAAAAAGTTTTGGATTTAATAATTATTTCAAACCACATCAAGCCATAAACATCCCATGATTTTCAACACTGCCGTCAGCTAAAGTAATTAAGACTCCTTCTGTCAACAAAAGACGGTTGGTAAAATGGTCTGATCCCCTGTTCAGTAAACTTAATCCAAACCTGGCCCTTTTTCAGAAAAGGTTGTGCATCCCTGTATATAGGCTGAAACTAATTTAGCTTGAACAACACCTTAAATACTTTTTCCAGCAACATTTTAATTTCTATAAAAGAACATTTTTGACCCTTTTCACAGATCTCAGTCAGGTTTAACAAAAAGCTTTGATAACTATTGAACACAAGACTGTGTTATTATTAAAACACTTGGCGTTTTTCCTCTTTATTCAGTTGACATGGGTACTTTTACACGTTTCAAGCGTATAGCCCCTCATCAGTCAACTGATAAGAAGAAACATATACAATAGATTATAGTATCTATTTGTTGAACTGTATATGTTATTTTCGTTTTTCTAGATGGAATTTGCCGTTTCTATCACTAAAACTTGTAGTTGATTCAACAGTCTTGTGTTCAATAGTTAATAAATACGAAAACACGGTTTCAAAAAACGAATCAAAAAAAATTTGAACTGTCTTCTTAAACAGTCTTTCTTAAATATCAGAAACTGATTAAACATCTCCATAAATGGCCCCAAAGATGGAAATTTGATTTTCATTTAGCATTTGTTGTCTGATGTGAATCAAAACCAAGAAGGATTGTCCAATAATGTATGATACTTGTGGGTAGTAACAATAGATTTATGGTTATATGGTAGTGCAGTACACTGCAATAATGTACAGTATTTGTGTTTAAACAATAATGTATTGTGTATTGTTCTGGGCAGCCTCACAGATGAGAAATGTTAGCTACAGTTACTAAAATTTTGCTACAACTTTTTAGTAAAATTAGCTAAAATGCTTCAGAAAATTTTTTTCAGCTTAAACCACTGTTCTCTCAATATATGCAGGAGAGGAAGTTAAACCAAATTCCTAATTTACAACAGGCTACGTTAATTAGAACAATAGTAAACATGGACGAACTCAAGATACTAAATATGTTTGAGATTTTTAAAGCAGAGAAGCAGGGACAATGTATAAATTTTGAGGAGGAAAGGTTCATTTAACCAGTGTGGCAGGTTCTGTTTAATTAATATGTCATCATGAAAACTGTTTTACAACTTTTACTCTTGGATGTATCTTATTGATCAATTTTAGAGGATTTTAAATTCAAATTATCTATGAGCTCTTCTACATTTGACATATCAAACATCAAAACGTAGGGCATTCTATCTATTTGAAATTTGTGACCTAAAGCAGGTCTTAGAAGTATACTGAAAACATTTGTTTTCTGAAAAATTAGCTGGTACAGTGGTACCTCAGGTTACGAACGCCCCAACATACGAAATTTTCAGGATACGACATGAAATTTGAACGTATTTTTGCTCCACGATACGAACAAAAACTCACCATACGACGTTACATTAGTTCGCATTTTTCATTTGTTTTTCTTACTNTGCATTGCATCAGGGTTGTTTATTTGAATTATTCCATTAATCTATATTTTTAAAAATTATTATTTAACTGCTATATGTAATATCATAATGAATATTCAACTGATCAGATTGTTTTGTTTTCGGAACAAAAATTATAACTGAAAATACTTCTAGCCTTTTTCAGTAAAAATATTTTTAGGTACTTTTCAGTTAATAGGACACCGGCCAATATGTACAGCAAGGAGTAAGATTCAAGCTTTGAATGAGAAGTTTCGCACTACCCCCAGAATTGTTGACCCTTTGCGTGATATTCATCTCAGAAGGACAGTTTTTAACATGTATCAGTCTACTATTCTATTGATACATGCTTCACATATAGCTGTTGCTAACACCTCAGCACCCAGGTGGGGGGTGAGTCCTCACACTCCCTACAACTATATAACATCAAGTATTCAACAAACAGTCAAGTGGGCTAAATTTTTAAGTTCAATAGTCTTTACAATAGTCTTCTGATGTCCCGTTAACTGAAAAGAATCATATTTTATTAATTAAATGTTTTTGGCTGACTAAGCAGCCATCTTCAGGATCAAACTATTAATGGAACCAAAAAATTATAGCTAGTATGATTAAAGTTGTATCACACACCTCAAAAAACCTCTGGTGTCCAGTGGTGTGTGATACTGTTTTAGTAAACTGATGGTGAAGGTGGCTGAACTATTACAATTAAAGTTTATGAATTAACTTTTATCAAATAATTTATGCTATAACAGATAATGACTAGTAATAATGACTAATGCCACAATATATAACAAATATTGAATTTCTCAAAAATTATAACATATACATATATGTGTGAAACTCATTTAAACAATGGGCCATTAAAGCGACTGGTAAGATTCACATGGGCCACATCACATTGAATTCAGATATTTAAGAAAATTTAATTAACATTATCATTAATCATATGTAAGTGTATATATATTTCATTTCAAGTAATACTAGAACATCATGCAATTTTGTTGTATCATGACAGAATTGAGGCAGTCAGAAAAAAACAGGCAATCCTTACACTTGCTGCTAGAGTTGGTGATCCATGAACAAAACAAACAACACCAATTGGTTTGTTTTTGTGTTTTAATCATTTTTTATGCCCTTTATCCATTAGGCACATGCAATGCTTTTTTTTGTCTCTGAATTCCATTAGGCATGTTGAATCACATCACGGAGCATGGATATTATCACTTTTACCCCACTGTATCTCAAAACTCTTTTTTATTACATTTTTGGTTTCCTCATTCTATTTAATGGAAAATGGCAAAGTTTTATCAAAATTGGAATATCAAATTGTGAAAACTAACAGAATTCTGTAAGCCACATAGAAGAGGCTTTGCTAATGCTCCATCTCAATAAGTTGTTACTCTTATATGAGTAAAAAAATGTATTAAAACATTACAATAAAATAATTTTTCATTCTTAAAGATGTTTTCAAGAAATAAATACAACTAAACATTTTTTCCTTTATTCAGGAAAGAAAAAAAATAAGATAAACTTTAATTTTAAACCATGCATCATTAATTAAATTGTTTATCTATAGAATAGTATCAAAATAAATTTCTGTTTAAATATCTAATACATGTATTTTTGTTAGTGTTCTAAAACAGAAAATTCTATTTACATATACACACACACATATATATGTTTGTAAACTTAAATTTGTTCAATAATCTATTCTTTAAGAAGAAAAGTATTTTAAAATTGATTTTATATTATAAATTTTTAAGTTATGAAATAAAATAGTTTATATTGTGTATAATATACATAATTAAACAATAAAATATGTAAGTAAAAAATAATTTATAAAAAGCAATTTAATCTTTTTTATGATTAAAATTTTATGTAACATAAAAATTGAAGCCAGAAAAATATATTAAGCACTCAATCATTGTTGCATACACACATATGAGACTTGCATGCTTCTTTAAATATACACATGAAAATCAAGCATAAAAAGGAGAGCCAAAATTGTTGGTAAAAATATTTAAAAAACCATTTCAAATAGTAGAAGTGTGCAGATATTTAGTATTTAAGATACGTACATATAAGGGAGAAGTGACGAAGATTCTACCATTGAGATATTCTTCATATGAAATTTTGGCTGTCCACGCTATCATCATTCACCTTAAAACAAGAGAAAACACATGCAATGGGAACTGCAGCTACATACCAACAGACAAAAAAAAATTTCCTCTTCTATGCATCAAAACTTACATGCATAAAAATAATTTCTTTTTAATCAAAATTAAATTTATTAATTATTAATATATTAAATTCAATTATTGCATTTTTAAAGCTAATATTATGTGTGCAATTTTTAATTTTAAAAAATCTCTTACTCTGGGTGGATGATGTGTTCTGGTTCCATTGTGATCAGTGTATGTTAGTTCACTTTCATCTATACATATATCAGTATCGGAATCATCATCTTGCCTCCTATTAACTTCCTGTAAAAATTTTATAATTTTAGAAAGTATGTGTTTTTCAAATAATTTATATATATATATAAAATATACCTGCGACATTTGTTTTGTACTAGTCAAAAGACGAGCCAATGGTAGGCAGCATGATGGCAATGTATCCATTAATGTTGGTCTACTGTGAGTTAATAAGGGCTTCATGTATCTGAAGTCAATTAAGGTTATTTAACTGATTCTAAGTCATACTAGGACTAGAATAAATTTTTACATAATGACTATAAACAGATTAATTTGTAATCATTTTTAAAGCCAAATTAATAAACGAAAAATTTTATTTTATTTTTTTTTACACTGAATTTTATAAAATTTTAAAGGATGTCGTTTCTATAAAAATCACAGATACAATGCATTTTTTTTTATTTTTATTAAATAAATATCCAGCAATAATTAAGTTCTACTTAAATTATAACAACTAAATAATTTAATTTTTATATTACAGATATTCATCAAAAAACTAATACTACAAATATATTTACAAAGGATACCGCACATCAAAGTTATACCACTTTCTAACTAGCCAGGCTTTTTCATAAGGCGTTTTATTTTCCATTGGTGGAGGAGGACTGCGTAATTCAGTAGGTGTAGTAACTTGAGGAACCTAAAGATATGCATATCAATGAATACTCAAAATGTTTTAATTCAATTTAAAAATAGAACATTTTCAGTAGTTTCAATCAGACTGAAGTAAGAAACTTCAAATGCAAACATTACATACCATTCTCATTCCTCCAAACTGTAGTAGTTCATGCTCTTCTTCAACTCCAACTCTAAAATTTAAAAAAAATTCATATTATATTCAAAATTAAATGAATATTTATCTAATAATATATACTCAAAATAAATTTACGGAATGCCAAGCCATGTCAAAAGTTGTGTTGTACATCCACCACAAACTATAACAGTAACAATGGCAATAAGAGATGTTGTGGTTAGCATCAAGTGTCGCTGTTCTGATAAGGTGTTTCGAATAGCTAAAGCAAATGCCATAGCACCACGAAGCCCTAAATTTAAAAATTAATTTTAAACATCTCTTTTAAAAACTGAAATATAATCAATTTATAAATTAAAAAATTTATATATGTATAAAATCATATTTACCAGAAAAGAAAAGTACATGTTGAAAAGCATATGGAATTTTATTGTGTCTGCCCAAATTTAATAAAAATGATAGTGGATATACATGCAGAGCTCTACCAATGGCAATGGCCAACTTAATACTTAATTAAAGAATGACAGTTCATAAAAATTATAAAATAAATACATTAAAAATCAAAATAGATTACATGAAGATTTAAATTATCTAGAAATATTTATAAAAGGATACAAATGCTACAACTATAAAGGCTGCATCCCAATGATGTTTCTGATATGTAAATATAGATACACCAATATATGTGAAGATGAAATTTTCAGCTAAGAAATTCAGTAATTCAAATAACTGTAAGAAAAATATATACTTGAGTTGTTAAAAATATATGTATGAGAATATTTACATAAACAGATTAATCATTTTATTAAAACCATCACTTTTTTCATTATGTTCTAACTTTAAAATAAAGGGAAAAAACTCCAAAAAGTTGCAAAAATCCTTCAATATAGTCAAAATTTTGAATGTATTTTGCTTCTTTTGGAAAATACTGCACTGCAGAAATTAAGCAGTTATTTAATTACAATCTGAATAAGTCTTTTTTACAGCATGAATTATGTGTCAATTTGTAATTTGTTCCCTTAAAATATAACTGAAGTATTTTTAGCATACTTATTTGAAGTAAAGATATCTTTCAACACTGAAAGTTGGACAAACAATGATGGAACCCCATAACATAAAACTTAACATAACTTATGTAAAATAATCATTATACATAAACTATTAGCATTATATATGATAATTAGTAATTAATTAATATATGATCATTTATCAAAATCAAATTCTTAAGTACCATAAAACTTTTAAATATAAAGTCTTACTTGTTTTGTTCTTGATCGAGATTCAACTGATAAATTGTTGTATGTATAATGTGCTTGGCAAATTCCACAGAATAAAACTGCAACAATGCCTAAAATAAAATAAATTTTGTTATAAATTATAATAAAAATGTAGCTAAACATTTCTTTTTACCTGTGAGATCTGCAGCTTCAGCAACAAGAAATGTACAATAAGACATCAAAACAAACAAACATGATTCCAATAATGGAAATTCAAAGAGACGGGTGAATTTTGTCAAGTATCAAATAGTTAAGGATACAATATTCTAATTTAACAATATTTTTAATTTCAAATTAAAAAAAAAAAGGATATAATAGCAGTGGAACAACCTGTTACTGAACCTATTAACAAAGAACATACAAATATATACAAAAAGTTTCCTAAAGACTGGAATGCTGCTCCAATTTGAAATCTTCCATCTTTTGATTGAAATTTTTCTTCATATCTATCTATAGATCTTCAAAATAATTTGAAAAGTTTTATTCNAATAAGATTTTAAGAAACAAAGATGGTCAATACTCCAATCACTCGATCTGGTTCTTATTTACCTAATGAAAAGTCCTGCTACCAAAAATGCCCTTTCTGATTCAATTCATATGGGTGGAAATTTATCTACCACAGCTGCTTTAAGAGAAGATGGATGTTATGTGCTTTTTCACCCGTAGCCTGGAAGATTTCTAGTTTGTTTTCAAGATTGTAATACTCCTTTTGCTCACTAGTATTCTTGATTTGTCTACCACAGCTGCTTTAACAAAAACATCAAGCTTATAGCCCGATAATGCGGCAGTTCGTTTGTCTTTAATAATCAGGTTTATGAAGAAAAACTTCATTTTTGCAGACTTTGTACTCGTTTGTATCCTTGCCCAGTTTGCATAACCTGGCATTATGCAGTTATTGAAGCTACTGGGCATGGTTAAAAATTAAGACAGCATAAGTACAATTATTCCAGATATTACAGGTTCTGACAAGTAAAGAATTTTCAGAGTTCTGCCACAAATAAGCTATGTAATTATTGACCATTTGTGACATGCCATAACAAGCAAAAATTTAAAAAACTAATAAGTAGGTTTAAAATTAATAAATACAAATGTATTCTGACAGTTTATGAGTTAATTACACTTTCTATTTGCAAAATTTTCTCAATCTTAACACAAAATAAGAAAAAAGTGAATTTTTAATAAATTTGTGGGGTTTCCCAGGATGAGAAGAATTTCCTGGGATAAAAAACAACCAGGATCCTGGCATCTTGTTTGAGAAACCCTAGGCCAAAGAAAGAAAGATTTGTTATATTAAACATGGGCAGCAATTTCAACAAGAATGGCTGACTTACTACAATAAAAGTTAGTCTGATGATTTTATGAGTGTAAGCAGAATGATTAGACAAGCATGGCTATCTTTACAGATGGGCATGCCTGACGTTGCCTGAGGCCTTGCGAGCATATGGGCCCTATGCTTGTGTTTGTAATTTAGTTGATGAAAATTGGGAGAGACTTCCTGCATTCTACAGAAAAATAATTTCAGGCAACATAAAATCTGTGTTTAGTGTAATTTCAAAATAGAATGTATTCATATGCATGATGGTGACCAAATGAGCAGGAGAATATTCATTTTCAAGATAAACTTAAAAAATAACCAGCTTTGCAGCACAATGGAGTATTAGCATTTGCATTGACATTCACTCATGTATGTCTACTTGAAGACAGCAGTTATAAAGCAGTTCTCTGCAAAGAAATTTCACAAATGTTTGTGTTGAACACTTAATTATTATGAATTATTATTATTATTATTATTATTATTAATTATTGATCTCATGCGGTGCTATCTCTCTATGGTTTACCAACTAAATATACTTTATATGTCAAATTTTTGTGCCCAAGAACAAAGTTAATGCAGACTACTAAATTAACTGTTTTAAAATCATATTTAGAAATTGAAGTGCCAAAATTGCATCATCAAGAATTAATAAAAAAAATCATTTTACACCATAAAGCATTGAATCACATTGGTTCTTCCAAATAGTGGATAATCAAGTAGGCAAAGAAGAAATCTGTAATCTATATACAGTGGAACCTCGGTATATGACCTTCATCCGTTCCTGATATTTGGACTTATACCGAATTGGACGTATACCTTTCTCAAACCAACCTTTCTCATAAAAAGTAATGTAAAAATGATAAATCTGTTCTCATGTAAAAAAAAAAAATGGCTGGCTTTAAATACCTCACTTTCCTGGCTAGTTACTGCTTGGTTTTTCATGAGATTAGCACATATCTTTTTAGCTTTCTCGCAAATAATTGCTTCTGATACGTTGTCTCCGGCATATTGTTTTTCAGTTATCCAAAGCAAAAGCAATTTCTCAACATGATCTAATGTCTTTGATCTATGTTTAGAAATTAATTTAACCCCTTTCGCAACGTTAGCAGATTCAATAATGTTTTTATTTTTCACGATTGTCGATATCGTCGTTCTCGGAATATGATACGTAACAGTTAATTAAAATCTCGAACACACATGCCACATTCGTATTTCTCAACAGTCTCTTATCAGTTCCATTGTGATTCTAGTCATTTTTTTAGTTTTCTGTTGCTTTTCATTTGCCTTCTTGCAATTCATGATTAATTAAAATAATAAAATGTTACTTACAAATTAAAATCAGAAGAAATTTAACAAAGTTATAAACCGTGGCACCACGAACGTCTAGTCTGGTCTAGTACACCAATAGTGCTACTTGTTCATAGATGGTGTGTATAATTGAATTAAATCGTATACAGAACAAAAGTCGTATACCGAGCAAAATTTGTTTCGTCCAAACAGGACGTATTCCGAATTGGACGTATTCTAAAGCAGACATATACTGAGGTTCCACTGTATATAAAATTACTTGTCCTGACTGAGTGATTGATTCATCATTGCCCAGAGTAAACCGCTGAACCTAAAGAGGTAAAGTTTGATACACAGTTAGGGTATGTCATGAAAACACGCACTAAGAAGGGATTTTTTGAAATACCCCCACGGGAGAGGGAGAGCATTAAAGCTTAACCTGAAGAATGGCTTCTACTGTACTATTTTAGAAGCAATTTTTTGTTATCAACTATGTTTATTCTTCATTGAGTACTTAGGTGTATTAAATTGATAACATTTCAGACATTGTTATAAATATTTTTATATATTTTGATTTTTTAACCAAATGTTCATACTGTTTTAAATTTGAATTTGTTATTGCATATTGGTTCAATTATAGAATGATTGTAAACATTCCAGAAAATTGATCAAATTGAAAACAGTTCATTTGATTCTCAGCAATTCTCATCATTCTCAGCGGTAGGTGTTATATAACAATTACTATGATTGGTTATGCTAAATTGCGGTTTAAAAAATAAATATAAAGACACAACACGGTTTCAAAATATGGAATTACTATGATTGTTGAAATACTGAATATAAATATGGTTTTCTGCAAAATCCACACAGGCAAAGTCGCGGGTAACAGCTAGTCAATTATATACCCAAAGAAGAGATCCTTGTTAAATCACCCAACATCAGTCTGACAAATTTCTTTGGCTTTTTAAAAATGTCACAAGGCAGTTACTTGTATTGAACTTGAAAAGGGCTGGATGAGGAGGGGACCAAAGTAACTCCTAGAAGTAACAAAGTTTCCAAAGCATGGAAATGAAGACCACGAGACTTATAGAGTTCACAGACAACATACTGAGCAAAGTAAGTATAGTCACAAGCACATATTATAGGATAAAAATTAAAAACAAAAGGGAGACAAAAGATTCTGATAATCCTCTATATATATATATATATACACACACACACCTACACCATAGTTTTGCAGAATGACTGGCATCTGGCATGTCAGTCTATTCAGTCTATCTGGGGAGACAATAAAATCTGATATTTCCATATGGTAAAAACCAGTATCAGCATGCCTGTTTAAGCGAGGTTATACATCCCTCTCTAGAGGGTGCAATAAAAGTAAAATAAATGAGTTATTTATTTTAAAACTGTGAAACTGTCAGCATTACATCAAAAACTACAATTACATGCTTAATTTCTTCATTTTGTCTTCTTTCTAATGACATAAAATACTCATTGAAGTCTGAAAGTGCTTTTTTTTTATGTTTATTTTATGGTAATTTGATTGAAAAACACAAAAATAAACACATTAAATTTAAGAAATTTGCCATTAATTATCTCAACTTATATTGATTAACATCGGCTTTGTATGAAATTTGAGAGGAAGGTGTTATTTTTAGGTCAAGATAAATGGTCAGTGTAGCCCACANTTTTTTTAATGTATTACTTGGCTTTAATATGAGTATGTTTTTCGCGTTGGAACGAATTATTTGGTTTTACATGTAATCGTATGGGAAAAGATGATCCACCTTACGACATTTTCATGATACGATCTTAGTTTCGGAACGGATTAATTTCGTATCCTGAGGTACCACTGTATGTATCAATAATATCAAAGTAGGGAGTTTTTACAATGTTAGCCCAGTTTTTGAAGTTCAGAAAATTTTTAAAGATAATTCAGAAAATGACTTTGTGAAATGTTGTGAACTGCTTTAATGGAGAATAATATACAGTAGACCCCCCTATAAAACGAGTTCCTATAATTACAATTCCTATAAAACTGCGAAAAAATTGCAACGGTATCCATAAAAAACGGTAAAAAACTCCTATAATTACGTAAAACNTCTAAACATAAAAGACTAAAAAAAAAAAAAAAACTATATTCGCTATTTATAGAGAAAAAATAAAATATAGTTTGAGATTGTTTCTTAATTTACATATGTGAAAAGTTTTATTTAACATATTTGTATAGGTCAGAAACATTTTCTTATTTGCTCCATGCAGTTGTTTATTTAACATATTTAATTTTTCAAAGATGTCTGTGAAATAACTCAGAAATGCTTGACCATTAACTGATTTTAAGTGTGTCATCTTGGGTTTGTCATTCAAAAATTCACCAAAAATATGAAATAGCTCCATGAATCTCTTCAAGCAATTCCCCTGTGACAACCATCTTATTTCAGTATGAAGCAATAGTCTGTTGTGTTCAGCATTTTTATCCTCACAAAATTGTTTGAAGAGACATTCTCATTTGGCATTTGCTTTGATAAAGTTGACCCATTTCATAACGATGTATTATCTCATTTAGGACAGGCAAAAGCTTTTTAGAAACTAATTTTTCTCTATGAATAATACAACATACAAGCAATATGTCTGGGTTGTCATTTTTCATTAATTTTAAACAACTGTTTCTTGCCCATCATAACAGGAGCACCATTTGCAGCACATATTATATTTTTCATTGTGTTTTATTGACAAGACTATGTTTTGTTCATAAAATCAAACTGCCCAATATTCTTACCAGCATAGAGGTATAAAGGAGTATATGTCAAGAGTTGATATTTGGCACAGAGTATTAGATGCCCAAATCATTTGCGCATAAAAAAATCCAGAC